GCCCATATACTTTTATATTTATACAATGCACAGACAACATAAAAATGCAACATATATTAAGCACCTAATGTGCTATATGTTGTTTTTTTCTAAGATTTATTATTTTTAAAAAAAATTTTATTTATTTGAGAGGTAATGTTACAGACAGAAAGAGCAAGAGACAGAGAGAAAGCTCTTCCATCCACTGATTCACTCCCCAAATGGCCGCAAAGGCAGGAGCTGATCCAATCCTAAGCCAGGAGCCAACAGTGTCTTTGGTCTCCCATGCAGGTGCAGGGACCCAAGGACTTGGGCCATCTTCTATTGCTTTCCCAGGCCATAGTATAGAGCTGAATCTGAAGAGGAATAGCTGGGACTTGAACCAGCCCCTAAATCAGATGCCGGTGCCGCAGAAGGAAGCTTAACCAACTATGGTACAGCGCCACCCCTAAGATAGATAGATAGATAGATAGATAGATAGATGATAGATTTGAAAAGCAGAAATGCAGAAAGAGATCTTCCATCCCCTGGTTCACTCCCCAAATGGTCACAGCAGCCAGGGCTGGACCAGGCCAAAACCATGACCCAAGAGCTTCTTCTTGGTCTCCCACATGGGCACAGAGACCCAAGCACTAGGATCAGAAGTGGAATACCCAGGCACCCCAAATGGGTGCCAACACTGCAGGCTTAACCTTCTATACCACACTACCGGCCCTGCTATACAGTATTTGAAAATGAATGACCTACCAGGGAATATGATACAACCCACTCTTGTTACATACAGCTGTCTTTGAGGGAACTTGCAATTTCTTCTCCAGAACCAATTCCTCTTTTCTCTACATCAAAGGTCTTGCACCTTCCAGAACCTTCTAATGAATATGAAAACCTAACCATCTGGATGGTCCATCTCTGGTGTTAAATAATCAGTATCATGGAACACATGGCTTTGCAAGAGGCTCTGTCTCGGCCGGTGCCGCGGCTCACTAGGCTAATCCTCCGCCTGCGGCGTTGGCACACGGGGTTCTAGTCCCAGTCAGGGTGCCAGATTCTGTCCCGGTTGCCCAGGAGTGCAGTGGAAGATGGCCCAAGTCCTTGGGCCCTGCACCCGCATGGGAGACCAGGAGAAGCACCTGGCTCCTGGCTTCGGATCACTTGTCAATCAGATGATTCCTTCCCCAGGAAGTACTTCCCCTTACCCGGGACCTGGGGGCAGCACCATGTACACACTAACATTTTCCAAGGTCATAAGAAGCCAGATAAAGTGGCAGCTCTCTCTGTCTCCACCCAGAAGGAGCAGGGTTGAAAGTCCCTCTTGACCTTTCCTGGCCCACTCTCCCTAGATAGAGCCCACAAGTGCAGGTGAATTCCCTCACTTTGTAAATAAACACTGTCACACTGCACATCATGTTTGTGCCTGTACTTAAAATTTTTCTCTAAGTAAAAGGCAAGAGTCTAGAATAGACATTTAGGCCCAACCTAGTCCACAACAGTATGAGGAGAAAAGAAATTAACTAACAGATCAAAGGAAGGATATTATGGACTGTCAGCACTGCAACTTCTTCTCCAGGTCTCATATAGTTGGTAATTATTGTAAAACTGAGCCTCATGGGAAAGCCATTTGGAACACAGTTAAGTCATGCTTGGGACATTCATGCTCCCTATCTGAGTGCATGGTTCAGAGTCCCAGATCTCTGCTTCTGATCCAGCTTCCTGCTACTGCAACCCTGGGAGGCAGGGGAGAACGGCTCAAATACTTGGGTCCCTGCCACCTCTACGTGAGAACCAGACTGAATTCAGGCTGCTGACTTCAGTTTGGCCCAGTTCTAGCTGCTGCAGGCAGCTGAGGAGTGACCTAGCAGATGAAGTTCTCCCTATATCCATCTCTCTATCTCTTCCATTCAAATCCAGTGAAAATAAATGAGCCTAAAATTAAACCTCAGTAACTTCTGTCCTGTTTTATAAATTTTAATAAAGCCAACGGAGTAAGTTAAACTTCCAATAAATATTGATTGATGTTTTATTCCAAGTCAGAAATGGATCCCAGTTTTAGAAACACTGTAGAGTAGTAAATATGGAACCACTACAAGAATTCATCAGATGGCTGAGTATGGTGTAGCCACACTAACTTATGCCACTCTGAGATATGAAAAGAACAAAGGACTGCATTTCCAGGGGTCTGACGGATGGAAACTTTCGTGAAGAACTGGAAAAAAAAAAAAACAAGGACGACTTTGCAGGATGAGAGAGAACACAGAGACACCGCTGCAGCCAGCCTCACAGTGCAGCCAGCTGTGAGCAGCCCTCTTACCACATCAAGGTAGGAAAAAGCTGTCACACACTGACAGGGAACCTTGCAGTCATCCGGTGACTTTTACTTCAGCCTGGACAGCTGACTGGGGTCAAGCAACTGCTGGGCTTGGAGCAGGGAAGAGGATTTACTTGCTTCCTTCCAAATGCCCACTCCCGCAGAGTGCCATACTGGGCACCGGAAAATCCTGCAGTGCAGCTCTGTTCTCCACCAGCAGCAAACTCAGTCAGGACAAAGGAAGGACCCTGCACCAGTAACTGCGGGATCAGCCCCAGAGCTCTGCTCACGCACCCTATGTGAGAAAGGGGGATTCACCTTGCTTCTGGGGGCTAACACCAGAAGCTGCCCACAAAAAAAATCCATGCCCACCCTGGGAGATCAAGATGATGACCCCACTATTTCCTGCAACACCCGGACTGTAACAATTCCTTCTAAATTGCTCAGTGCCCCTGGAATCAATCCAGTGGACAAAGGGAATAATCTACCTGAATTCCAGCTCTCTGGGCTCATGGCCTCCACGGTCGAATCTCCTGGACAACTTAGAGTCACCTTGGAGGACTGGAACAGGGTTCACTTCACATCCTCCAGTTCTAGGACTAGGGCTGTTGGTATTATAAGCCCCAGCACCAGCTGGACTCTCCTAGCACGACCTCCGGAAGGGTCCAACCATATCACACAGTCCGAGAGCCACAGCACTATTTTTCTTTCTGTTTTTCAAATTAGATGACCTCATTGGTTCTACTCTAACATATGCTTATTTTTGCTTCCACCTGCTCAATCTAGCTGTAAGTAGTAGGCCCAGTACTGAGTTTTTCATTTTAGCACTTTCCAAATCTAGAATTTGTTTGTTTCCTTTTTTTACATTTTCTCTTTATTGATGTTTTGGATTTTAAGAGATATCATTCCTATCCTTTGCTTTAGTTCTTTCACTATATATAAAATAGAAATAAGTAAAATTTGTGGGGAAGGAATTCTCAATATAATCTCTATTGTTTTTGCCCTATATAATGGTAATGCTTTCTTGTGTCTTTGTCTCATAGCTTTTTGTTGAAATTAAGATGGTTAAAATAATATTTTGTGGAGACTACGCAAACTGGACTCTTCCCACCCTCCAAAGCTTGTTGTCATTTATTTGTATAAGTGACTTCTCTAAGTGAATCCTGTGAACACTGTATTGCCATCAAAGTCATTACTTCGTTACTTATCAGCTAATGCTTTAGCAGATTTCTCCTAAAAACCTCAAAACAATAAATGTCCTCCTATTTGCTCAGGATCTCTGTGTGTGTGCGTGTGTTGGAGCACCCCTTAAGCATCCAGAAAGCAGACAGGCAATTAAACTCTGCCATAAGCTGGACTTTCTGCTGGTGCAGGCCCTCCAGGCCTGTCAGTGATGAACAGTTTTAGGGTTTTCTCAGGCCTTGCTTGAGCATACATACATCCCTGGGCATGTACACAGCCCTACCGATGAGCACACCCTTCCCAATTCTCAACAATGTACTGAAGAACTTTAAAGCTCTTGATTTTTGTACACAGTCTATTGTTTATCTCAAATTTTACTCACTGCCATAGACCAGAGAAAATCTGGGCAACTTCCTCTCTGTTTTGAAAAATGCTAAAGCAGGAAAAGGCTTTTTGCCTAGGACATCCCAAAGTCCAGCGAAATCAAGACTGCCACACAAATGTAAACTTCGAGAGAGCTGCCTACTCAAATCATTACAATTCTTTGCTATGGAAGGTCGGAAGAATCTCCTATCCTATTCTGCTACCTCTACTGTCTACCAGGTTGCCAGTCTTCAGGTTGATGGCAGTTTTTTGCATTTCAAGGCTATCTCAAGGCTGGGGAGGCGGAGGCCAGGCGAAGAGGATATGCAGGCAAGGTGAAAGACTAAAAGATTGAATCACTCTTCTTGAATAAATGTCTTCCAAGGGCTAAGCTGATTTCCAGAGTTCTCAAAGAGTTAATGCTCATATTTTCCCCAGTTTCCTCAAGTTTTTTTTTTTAAATTAAAGAAAGCTATTTTGGAAGCCCTACTCCACAACTATTGCTGACACCATTCTGACGATCTACATTTCACCCAGGATTATTTTGCACGTATAATCCTAAATGGTACAGTGTGCCAAAACACATTAAAAATTGTGTAAATTTTTACTATGTGTATATTTGAAGAATAACTATCTTTAAAATATAAGAGAAAATTTTCCTCATTTTGCATTCAAATGATTGTATTTGACACATACAATGCATGGATTTCACAATTTTTTTATATTTGCATTTTGTAATTTTGTAAGTTAAATAAGTAAATTGATCTCAGCTTTCAACCAATACTAGCTGCAGATGTATTGCTTTACCACCTTTATAATGCAATGATTATATAGCAAATCAGTAGCAAATTGAATGTTCTTTTTATATAAGCGAACTCTGAAAGTGTGTTCATTGTTTCAACCTAAAATGCTTAAGGAAACTTTCTATTTCTTTGTGGAAAAATACTCAGAAGAAAATAACCTATTTGTTATTCGGTCATTGCAAACTTCCCTAATGTCTGTTCACTGTTGGAGCTCATTTGAGGTCGCTGTCACACATACCTTTCCAGACAAACACATCTTTCCTCTATCAACAACAAACATGTAAAAGCCCAAGTTCATCTTATGTGCAGCATAATGACAGGAAATGTATCTTACATTTTAGGGGAAATTAAAAAAAAAAAAAACTTACGCCATTTTTGGGAAAAGCAATCCATCCTAGGTCTCCCATGACCGTGCGTGAATCCAACAAATTCACTGAAAAAGAAAGAAAAAAAGTTAGGAAAATATATAATGCTCCCCTATTCGAATAGTGTTACTAAAAGTGTGCAATTTTTCATGACTGAAATTAGATTTAGCTTTCATTATGATGAATAAAAGAGCTATAATTTTTTAGGAAACATTGCTGGAATGCAAGCGGACAAGTGATTTTGAGCAAACATTTGGAGAATTATTAGAGCAGAAATTTATACACAAGTCATTAACTCCCATACTTTTGTGCCAGGCAAGAATAACGACAAAGAACTAATAATCAAGAGAAAAAAGAAGACAAAATAAATGCCCATCAAAATGAAAGTCCCACCAGCTTGCCTTTTTTGTAAAGGCACTAGAGGTTTAGGGCTTAAGCTTTAGCCATGAAACTGTAGTAAAACATATTTTATTTTCTTCCAGAAAGCTGTTATGAAGCAATTAACAAATAATTTACATTAAACAGTAATAAACTATTCCTAAGCTTATAACTTGATGTGATATTATCCAAAATCTGTAATCTAAATTGCAAGTTTAATTAAGAAATAAATCTCTATACCCTTAACCAAGACAAGGAAACTGTAGCAATTCTGGAGGTTGTTGCTATGGTTAAGAGTCCACCACTGCATTCCCAAATTTAGAATCATAGTCTAAAATGTGTTTGTGTGAATCTATCAGATTCATTATGTCTGAGAATCATAAAATGTTTGGAATCTCCTAGAATGGAAGTGTGACTATTATCATTACAAATAGAAGTTATGGATAAGTATGTACACACATGTATGTACAAACCCTCTGTCTCTCTCTCTTATACACACACACACACACACATACACACATATTCATATACATATAGTCCCTGAGAAACCAAAGTGACTCAAAGAGGGACCAGTGCTGTGCCAGAGCTGGTTAGGTGGCCACCTGTGACACCAGCATCCCATATATACCATTTTAGAGCACCAGTTCAAGTCCCAGCTGTTGTACTTCAGCTGGGAAAGCACAGAAGATGGCCTAATAGCCTGGGTCCCTGACCCCATGTAGGGGATGTGGCAGAGGCTCCTGGCTCCTGGCTTCGGACCAGCCCAGCTCTGGCCGTTGAGGCCATTTTGGGAGTGAACCAATGGATGGAGGATCTCTCTCTGCCTCTCTGCGCCCCACCCTCCGTGTGTGTGTGTGTGTGTGTGTGTGTGTGGCTCTGCCTTTCAGATAAATAAGTCTTAAAAAAGACAAGGTAGCTTGAAAACAACTATCTCATAAAATGCTTTCAGCCTAGATCACAAATCATTATTTTTCCAAACTAGACTTAATCCTCATGGATGTTCATGGCCCACTGTACACTAGACCACTTTGACACTGGTGAGCATGGCATATGGAGCCAAAGGGAAAACATTTGGGTAATTCCTAGCCCAAAGTAGTTAAGAATCCTTATGTCATATTCAAGAGCCAATCTCCTGAAATGTCACCAATTCTAAATGAATTATTCTATCAGCAAGTATAAGCCTGGGGCTGAAAGAATAACAGGTAACAGTCTGGCAAATGTGTTTTAATACTATTCCAAATGGATTTTTGTACCAAAATAGATTTATGTTTTAAATTCTTTTTTCCATGAACTACTTGAAACCTTTGAATGTCTTATAAAAATGAATATCTTATAAAGAAATTCAGAAGTCTATAATGATATTACTAGCATTAAAATAATCAAAGAAAGGCACGTGGCCTAGTGGTTAAAACGCCATGTCTCCTATAGGTAGTCTGGGTTCAGTTCCTGGCTCTGACTCCTGATTCCAGGTTCTTGCTAATGCAGACCCTGGAAGATGGTGGTGATGGCTAAGTAATTGGTTCTTGTCACCCATGTGGGAGACCTGGATTGCCTTCCTAGGTCCAAGCTACAGTTCTGCCCAGCCCTGGCCATCCTGTCCATTGCAAACATTTGGGAAATAAATGAGAGCAGATAGGAGCTGTCTCTTCCTGTCTGTCTCTGTCTTTCAAACATCACCCACAAAGTTTCATATATGTGTGTGTTTTTCTCTTACCAGTTATACTGCGCATTCTCTTACTGCATTGAGTTCTTTAACTGTAGATACACATGCCACATAACATTTGCACCATCTTTATTCATATCATTGTGGTTTTGTGGACTAATAAATATGTAGAGAGTTATTAATTTCTTAGAAAACTGATAGTCTAAATGAAAAGTTCTTTTAAAAACAACAAAACGAAAACAAACCAAAGCTGTTCTAGTACCTGCTGACCTTGGAAATCCTGCCAGTCACATTACTACACCTGACTTCTCAGTTAGATTCATATTCCCATTTTCACTCTATTGTGGGCTTTCCTGGTTTCCATGGGAATAAGGCTACATTAAACATAAATGTCCTTGTCCTCATTTTGGTTTTTCTGGGACACTAGGGCTGTGTCTAGACATGACTGAATACCAGGGGAGCACAGAATCTAAATTGTTATGTTTATTCATCTTAATGATTCATTTGATTAACCTTGGATACTGAGCAGCACATCTGTGTAGATCAGGAAAAGCAGAGCACGCCAGCACACCAAGAGCGTTAACTCTGATGACAGTGGAAATGAACTTAATCCTGTGGTGGCAAACTGACGTGCACAGGAATTCTAGGAATTCATAGCCAGCTTGCCAGGAGAAACACCGCATTCCTTGTAGACCTATTACTAATATGTGCATCTGAAATATTCATTATTACCAACAGAATTCCACCTATCCTTTCAAAATCTGATTACTTGAATTTATTTAATATTACCATTTTCATCTTCTTTTTAAGCTTAAGGTGTGTGTGTGTGTGTGTGTGTGGAGGAAATGAATGATCTCAAAATAATAGCTTTACTGCTAATACAATATATTAGGAGTTTCCAATATTGGAATACAACACAAAATGCATGAAAATAACCATAATAGGAATCTATATGTCCTCAGTTTTGGTGATGTTATCAAAAGGCTTTCTTTAGAAAAACACATTAGGAGGTTTACAGGAAATCATGGATGTCACTAACATAGCTTTCCTCCTAGAAGCAAATGATTTCAGAAAATCCACAGTGCAAAGATATTTACATACACCATTACTCAATTGGAAAATGAGGAAAAGAGAGGAAAATTAAGTGTCTTATTAATTGCTGGCAGATTACTCCATTAAAAGGTTGTTCACACAATACAGAATGAATTGGGGTTTGAGGCATCCCATAAAATGAAAATTCACATATAAATTTTAAAATATGCATCTTCCTTTTAGCACCATGCTTGGAACAAGCTGCGTTAGCTATCTAAAACACCCTTCTCCTCTGGAATGGCTAGTTCTTCAGCTGACCTTCAAAATATTTCAGGATCTGTCATCCTAAGGAACACATTTCTGATCCTCCTTGTTCTAAATCTGTTAGGTATTATTACTGACTATTCTATTAAAACTAATTCTTATCTCCAGAAACTTGAATGCAGAGAACCGTACTGTTGCCCTAAAGAACACCATGTTTGGCTCACGCCTCTGCACACAGCCTGAGCCTGCACGTCCTGTGAATGAACCACTGGAGAGACAGATCAGGAGGGTGTGCCTGACGCAGCAGACACCAGTGGCTCTTGGTATGGATAGTTGATAATGTACAGGGACATTTTTAATTGCAAAATATGGAGGATGGGGAGAGTATTTGCTACCAGCCTTTAATGAGAAGAAGTCAGACACATGGAAAAACACCCCAGGAACAATACTGGCCCACATTTTGCTAGTTGAGAAGCCTAATGATGCCACTAGAAAATCTCCACTCTCGTAATTCTTTGTGTAGCAAACCAGAAGCATGATTTTCATGGACATAATTTAGCATGTGAGTGTATGAGTCATTCCTTACAAATCAAAATAATGTTACTTATATAAGGGAAGAAAAGTCATAAAATAACTTAAATCTTATTTAAGGAAATATAAAGTACTCTGACTATACAATGCCCCTAAATTATTTTCATGTAACCAATAAAATTATTACAAGTGCTCATTTCCCCTATTAGTTGTATAAAAGATGGAAATGCAAAATGAGAAAGTTAAACAAAAATCCCCAAAATTTAGACATAATATATATGCAAATTTTCAGAGGTTCATTTTCCAGTTTCATTACTAGACTTATTAAGAGGGGGGACTGGCCATAATAAAGCACAGTCACTAAGTGTCTTCTGTGCAACAATTATAGTAATTAAGTTGTTCTGAATAGTATATATGCTTGTTATGAATTGCAATGAATACAAAATGAGTATTGATCCTCACTGTACAACTTAATTAAAACTTGTCCAGGAGAAGTCACTAATGAATATAATTAGCTCAAATGTTTGATACCACCATTATTCTTGAAGACATTAATTAGATATCAGGAATTTTATACAAAATATTTTTATTCTATTATTTATGGTTTTAAAACAGTCAAATGATTAAACTGAGAGACAGCCTTCTAGGTCATTTTCCTTGAGCCACAGAGTAATTACCACATTGCTAGGCATACTGGTTGGTATTCTACTTAGTCATTAAGAAGACTGATGGGGCCAGCATTATTGTGGCGCAGTGTGTTAATACCCTTGCCTGAAGCACTGGCATCCCATATGGGTGCCTGTTCGAGACCTGGCTACTCCACTTCCGATCCAGCTCTCTGCTATGGCCTGGGAAAGCAGTAGAAGATGGCCCAAGTCATTGGGTCCTTGCACCCCCGTAGGAGACCCGGAAGAATCTCCCGGCTCCTGGCTATGGATCAGTACAGCTCTGGCCGTTGCGGCCATCTGGGGAGTGAACCATTGGATGGAAGACCTCTCTTTCAATCTCTCTCTCTCTCTCTGTGCAACTCTGACTTTCAAATAAATAAATAAATAAATCTTAAAAAAAAAAAAAAGACTGATTACCCAGAAGGAATAACTCTACAAAGTTCAAAGGCTGTTTACTCTATTGCAAACCCCCAAAGTTACACAAAAGAAAAACCTCACTAACACAGGAACTAACATTTCCATTGGTTCACTC